TGGCCTACTTTTATTTTTATTTTTAACAATGCCTATCAACTGATATGTATATAAACAAAAAATAAAGTATATCCATACAATGAAGTATTGTTCAGCCATGAAAAACAATGAAGTACTGATACGATACATGCTGTAATATAGATGAACCTTGAGAACGTAAGTGAAAGAAGCTAACTGAAGTAGCCAGTCACAAGAGACCACATATTGTATCATTCCAGGTATATGAAATGTCTAGAATAGGCAGATTTATGGAGACAGAGTCTAGGAGACTGCCTAGAATAGGCAGATTTATGGAGACAGTGTGAAGGGCTGTGGGGGTACATTCAGAATGGGAAGTGATTGCTAACGGGTGTGAGGTTTATTCTGGCGAGGGGTGATGTAAATGTTCTGGAATTAGATAGTGGTAATAGTTGCAGAACTTTAATATACCAAAAAATCACTAAATTTTACACTTTTAAAGGGTGAATTTAAGGTATGTGATTGCTATCTCAATTTTTAAAATTGCAAAAGAAAAGACATGTGAAGGAAATATAACACACTACCTTTAGGACCTTTGGATTGTAAAGTATTTCTTTTTCCTTTTTTTATTTTTGGAGACAGGGTCTTGCTCTGTCACATAGGCTAGAGTGCAGTGGCACAATTATGGCTCACTGTAGCTTCAACCACCCAAGCTCAAGCAATCCTCCCACCTCAGCCTCCAGAGTAGCTGAGACTACAGGCATGTGCCAACGTATTGTTCAGCCATGAAACTGTACCAGTTTACAAGTATTGCCACCACACGTGTACATATCAAGGTTTCATTTTCCCTATACCCTTGCCAACATTGTTATTTGTCTTCTTGACGAGTCATCAATATATTAATACTTATCTTATATTGACTGCTTTCACATGGCAAGTAGTATCAAGATGACTTGAATTTTCCTTTGATCCTCAGAAATATCCCCTGAAAGTATATGGAAGGATGGTAGGAAGGTATCTATCAATGTTCAGTGCTCATCTTGTACATAAGAAAACTGAAACTGCCATGAAGGGCAAAAAAGAGGCAGATCTATATATAATTTCAACTCTTACATGAATCACTACAAACTATCCATATTAAAAGAAAATATATATCGATATTGTATACTAATACATACAAGGTTATTATTTAACATGGGTTG